GCGCGGGGCGAGGGCTTCGGGGGCTCCTGCCGCGGGCCACGGCGCTGCTGTCAGCGCCGCCGCCGCCGAGGCGCGGTCCTCGAAGGCGGGGCGGAGCCGGCGAGCGCCCGCTCGGCCGTCGCGGCTCCTCTGGTTGCCGCTCCCGCCCCCCGCGCCGCGATCCTTCCCTCCCCCGCGGCCTCCTTCCCCCGTGCAGCCCCAGAGAGTGGCGAATGACTGGCCCCTTGGTGCCCGCCGCCGGCCTCGAGCGACCGGATTGGTACCCGCCGCTTTCACGCCCAACTGTAAGTTGCCGGCATGCTTCTTCTCCTCCTCATCCCTAGCTTCCCCAGCTCCTAAGCCGATCATCTTCCAGGCTGCATATCCCTGTTGCTTCGATCTCTGGACGGATCGATGCCCGCGACCGGTCTTTTCAACATAAATTATCTCACCCCCCGCCCCGCAACAGGTTCCTTGGGAAAGCCGCAGTCGCTCTTCTCCTGCCAGCGTGCGTCTAACCGCGAGTCTGAAACGTTAAACCACGGCGATTAGTGTTCGCTAAAGGTCAAGGGCAGTCCCCGTCTTTTTCACCCATTTGGACGGGAGCCTGAAAATATACCTTCGCAAGCAGTTTGCCCTCTGTCGTGCCTCGCAAATATAGAGATCGCTGGGTCAGAGCACAAGAGGGGCCCGAGAGGAGCGTGTCCTACAGTTTTTCTAGCCGGCTTTCCTTCGACTCTCTTTCTAGGCGCCATCCCTGCTGATTAAAAGTTAGTAATCTTCAAACTCCTCTTTCCCCCTGGAGATCAGACCCTTTTAAACACCCGGCACCGCCTCGCTCGACATTTGCTGACCTTTCGAAATTCTGAACGCTTTGCACAAGAAAAGAAAAGGGATTCCATTCCTCGTGCGTGCAAAGATAATATTTGGCTTGTTCTCTGTTGCCCCTCCTGCCCGCCCGGGCTCCCTTGGTCACTAAGTGGCGTTCAGCAAAACAATCGCTCAAAACTGGCAGCAAGAGCAGACGCGGTTGCAGCCGCTCAGCATCTCTGTTCCTAGTCAGGAATGGATGCTGCTCCGCCGGGAAAGGCGAACCTGCCGGCAGTGCCAGGTCCCTAGGATTGCACCTGGCACAGGATGGGAGTGGCTTGGAGGAGAGCTCGGTCAAGGTAGGGGGAAAGCAATGCCTGGATGAGCCTTCACCTCTCCTTGCTCCCTTGGGTGAGGGTCCTGCAGTGGAAACAGTTGGGTGTGGGTGTAGGAAGGCCAAGTTCAAGTTTCGGGTTGGGTTTGAAATTTCTCAGCTTCCTTACAAGGCTGTTAGTCTACAACACTGCCCAATTAGAATACAGCCACTGATTTGGGGTGCATTTAATTCACGAAGACTTGGCTTCAAGGTAGGGATGACAAGGATTCTCTGCAATAGGTTGCATAAGTGCTGTGCATCTGTGCATTGAAGCAATGTTGAAAACCTTCATAAGGTGATGTACAAGACTCTAAAACAAGAATGGGAAACTTTTTCAGCCAAAAATACGTTAGGGGACAGGACCTTGGGACATATACTAGCCATGGGCAGGGCCTAGAGCTTTTGTTATAAGTTTTGTTATAAATAGTGAATTAGCAAATCTACATTTGAAATTAAAATAACAGAAGTGTAAGCTGGGGTAGGCATTGACTCTATCTGGTGGAAGCCTTAAGTAAAACAGGAGCAGGCAACTTGTGTAATCTCAGTTGTCTTGCCCTACCACCCCTAAGATCCCTCATCATTAGCTGTGCTGGCTAGAGCTGATGGGAATTGTAGTCTGACACTTCTGGAAGTCCACAAGTTAGCCAGCTCAGTGTAGGACAACCTTCCCCAAACTAGTGCCCTGGACAATCTGGCACGATGTCCAAACTCCATCAATGGGAACACAAGCAGGCACACACCAACTGAGCATGGCTTAGGTGGGTAGAATCAGAAAGGCATTGCAGGACCTTGGATAGTTCTACATGGATGGCTTGCTCTGCTCAGTGTGGTATTTCGTACAAAACCTTACCTTCTTTGGTCAAGATTCTAGGCTACACCCCTTCTTAAAGAGTGGAGAGTCTTGAAAGGAATGTGTCTCTGTCTTACAGCCAAGTGCTTTGCCGAGACACCCTTTGCATTGTCTGCATGGTCGAGCAGGAGCTGGGGAGCATGAGGTTTTTACCATTGCTCAATGGAATCAGGTTCACATAGTAGAGTCACTGCAGAAGGTTCCAGTTGGGCCAGCTCCTTCGGCTGACAAGCTCCCATTTGGGGTTGGTGCAGGATCCTCCACCACTGGACTTCCAGATCCATCTGGTGCCTCTTCCTCCTTGCCTCCAGCCTGGCCTGCATGATCTACGCTCTCATTGTATATGTTTAGACACCAGGTCAAGACCTTCCCTTTCAAAGTGGCTTTTTGTCTTTAATGATTGATTTTCCTGTGGGTTCCTCAATGTTTTCAATATTTTAAAATTTTAATGCTTGCTATTGTATCATTTTGTTGCTTTGTTGTTGTGTTTGTTGTGTGATTTTACATTATACAGACCAATCTGCCATTTGGTCTGTATAAAAATCTAATAAATACCAGCCAGCTACCAGCCCCTGGAAATAGATCCTACCGGGTGATCCTGTTCTCAAATGAGGTGATATCCAGTATAAAAGGGCCCAGGACATTGGCAGCACAGGATCTTGGCTGCCTCCTGGGGTTTGCACACAGGTTCCTGAGCCAGGAGGCCACAGGCTATTGAGCCAGAGGTTTAGGTTCAGGACTTCCTTGCCTGAAAAGCTGGTTTCTCTGATGTGTGATGCATTAGAACAAGCATTGGACTGAACTGTGCACAGCTTCCAGTTACTACTTAACTAGGTTCGGATGTGCTGAGAGCAAATTTAGAATCCCCAGATTCTTTCATGATGCCCATGGTTTTCTTGAGTGCCCAGTGCAAAAAGAGAAAGCAGTGCATGTGGGGTGGTCTCTGGCATTTGCTATGGCCTTGGACCTTTCTATTCCTCATGGGCAAACAAGGCATCCATTCCCCCTGTCCATACAGCTTCTGAATGGGATGTACACTGTGTTCCTTACTTCCTTCTCATTGCTTGGTCATTCAGGGATAGCAGAGAGCAAGACCAGGTTTGGCAAAGCCCACCACTTGCTTCTCCCACAGCAACAATTACATCCATGGGTGAGCAGGATGAGAAGTAGCAGTGAAGAAGGAGCAAGTGCATGCAGTGAGTTACAGTGGGGAACAGGCCTGAGCAGCGGCCGGCAGCCTTCCACACTCAGAGAGCCATTTGGACCCATTTCCCACAGAAAAGAAAACACCGGGAGCCGCAAAACCCCTTTGACATCTAAAATGAAGATGACACTGCATATATAGTTTTTACCTTTATGCTATGTATTAAAAAACTATAGTGTGTTGTATTTATGAAATCAATGAACTGCTACAGAGAAAACAATTTTTTATTTCTGCATGCAACAAAAATATTTTGAACTCCAAAAAAAAAAAAAAAAGGATGCTGGGGTGAAGGTTATTTTAAATCAAATAGTCGATGTCTATTTGAGTCCTCCTTCTATTTATGAAATAAAAAGCCAAACTTAAATTATCCACCAGCAGCAAACCAAACGTGCCACCTGCAGCAAACCAGAAATGCAGTCTGCTTCTGTGTGCCCTCATCCTTTTATCATGTGGTGAAATATTGAACAAACATCCCTCTCCCAATGTAATAATGTTGCTGAAATTTTTATAAGAATCTCCTTAAAACAAGGAAGTAGATCTATATCTTCATTACGATTTAGCTGCAGCTCTTATTCATCCACTAAAAACTGTTATTTTTAATCTTACATTATAAACTAGTAGGATTCCTTTCATATATTTTGAATAGGAGAACAGCTTCCTGAAGAGTCAAAGTCAGTGCTAAAGGGCTGCATGCATTAAACAGCAAACCCCATAAGTTCGGCAGCAGTAAAAGCAAATGAATCTACCCACGTACCATTAAATGTTTGGTTTTCTCCAGAAACTTTTCTTCGATTTATTCATGGTTGGGGTGGGGGGGAGCTCAGTAAATCAGCGCAGGGATTGCAGATATAGGTGTGTTTAGTGACTGATTAGCAGATAAACAGTCAAGTGATGTGAATTGTGACAGGTCCCAAGCACCGCTTTTAACATTCAGATGAAGGAGATTACATTTGGACAAAGAGAATCTTTTCAGCAGCAGTTTTGTGTAACATGAGAGCCTGCAGGAAGCTTGCTCCACTCTTTCCCTGCACAATAGCAGAGGAATGTAGCAATATACTTAACCAGACTTGTCCCAGATCGGCTGCTGTGCAGGCGCAGGAGCCGCAGCAGAGAGATTCAAGAGCTATGTGCAGCTCTGGAGCCGCGGGTTGCCAACCCCTGGGCTTGAGGAAAGGACTAGGCCTTTAAAGCCCCCTTCGCCCCCATTCCAGCTTGGTGGACACTTAGATATGTTTAACAATCAAAGTGGATGTGTTTTCGTTTGCTTGCCTGCCTGTCAGCACCATAGCACCAAGAATGTGAAACCTAGGCACTTGCAACTTGGTATGCATACTAAGGAGACTCTGGGGTATGCACCTCAAGGGTATTTTAATGCAGTAAATAAATTTAATGTTTCCATGTGGTTGAAATTTACACTAACATCTTCAGCCATTTAGGGGCAGACTTTTCCTAAGCAGTGCATAGCCTTGCAGCCAAAACAGTATGATGCCAGAGGAGATTAGCAGGACTGAAGGGCAGAGTTGTGTGCCTGTGCCCAGTCCCATGCTGTAGAGCAACCTCCTCCGGGGAATGGAGTGTACAGCATCCTCCTTTTGGGGAACTAAAGGGACTAGGGGTGCTGGTGGGCATGGCTTCACTCAGACAAGGTCAGCACCTCATGTCAGGTCCATACGAACTGGCCTCTCATTGTTACCATGAACCTGTAAGGCAGTGATCATTTAGAGCAAAACTGAAGGCTACTGGGAAGTGCATGACATTGCTCTGTTTTTCTTTGCAGTAAGTGTGGACGCCTGTGTAAGTGTGAGGCCATCATGGCGGCATTTAAAGGCATCTGGACTCAGCCCTTCTGGAAAGCTGTTTCAGCAGAATTTTTGGCCATGCTGATTTTCGTTTTCCTCAGCCTGGGCTCTACAATCAACTGGGGAGGAACGGAAAAGCCCCTGCCTGTAGACATGGTCCTTATTTCTCTCTGCTTCGGACTCAGCATTGCAACAATGGTGCAGTGCATTGGTCACATCAGTGGTGGCCATATTAACCCTGCCGTAACTGTTGCAATGGTCTGCACTCGGAAGATCAGCCTTGCCAAGTCAGTTTTCTATATTGCAGCCCAGTGCCTGGGGGCCATCGCAGGGGCAGGAATTCTCTACCTTGTCACCCCCCAGAGTGTGGTAGGGGGCTTGGGAGTTACCCAGGTAGGCGGGGGTCTTGGGAGTTACATATTTTTATGGAACACAAGTCACAAACTAAATTAGATGGGAGGCTCTGGTTTAAATCCAGGGACGGCCTGGTATACCTATGTAGGATAGAATGAATGGCTAATATAGATCAGATATGTATTGGATATGGTTATGCATTAGGAAGGGCTGAAGGGTGACAAAATGGGACTCCTTCAGGGAGGACTGAAAAGGTGGAATTGGGCTGAGGGTCTAATTGTGACTGGGAAATGTGACAGTGAACTAAGCCATAATGAAAGCTGTACTTCTCTTTCTCTCAACCTCTCTCTCCCACTGCCCTTCTCATGAGGTTCAGAGCAGTTCTTGCTTCAGTAAGTTTGCAATGTAAATGATCATTTTGTTTCGTGTCTGAATTGCAATTACAATGGTAAAATCGTTCTTTTACCATACAAATTCCTCACATGTGCTTTACCTAGCTTTCACATTACCAACAATTACTCGTTCATCCAAACAGCACTGCACATTTTTAACCTTGTGTAGAAAAACACACATGCTAGTACAGATTTATGAGATGAGATCAAGGAACACTAATTGAAAGACTAAAGTTTCAGTTTATACCAGCTTCTCTGGGAATTGGTTCTCTTGGAATTGAAGGAACTTACTTCCAAATACAGGTATAGCATCGTCCTGTAAGACACTAGCCCTAGAAGCATTTAACTGTGAGTAAAGCACATTGAACTTATTTCTGAGTTATTATATATAGAATGACATTGTTTAAATTTCCTTTAACGCCCTCATTTATACTAACAAAAAAGTATATCATGTTCAAGGTTAAATAATATGCATGCTGATATTGTGAAAGGGTGCCTTGACATTCGGAATGGTGATTTCTCATGCAGTTCACTTGACTAGCTTTACACAAAGGCCATCTTTGACTAGTCAACTTGAGAAGAAAGGTCACATGAGATCCATTTCAATGAATGGGTTTAGGACATACCTGTGCAATATTAAAAAATAAATCTTGGTATGCAGGCAACTACCAACTGTATCTCAAATCCTTTCATAAGAATGAGTCCCATGGGTTTTACCACTATGAAGTGGCTACAGTCCATATGTTTCATAGATAGTACACTCACAAAATGGCAGCTTGTATCAGGATTTATTGAATAACAGTTGGTATTTATTATTTAATTCAAAATAAGGCAGTGATTTTACATAACTGCCATGGAGGTACCCTACTGGCACCTTTTACATTATGTTCATCAGCAATTGTTCTTTAATAGTGATCTTTTTAAATAACTTTTGAAAATAATTTGATATCAGATATAATATCCAGGCATGAAATGCGATTTTTAAGATGAAACTATGACAATGCTAAAAAAAATTCTATGTCATTATGGTGGTAACTAAAATTCCATACACTTCAGATGGCAAACTTCTTTAAAACAGACCGTGCCTTAGATTCCAGCTTTGTTCTCTGTTAATAAGGGATTCCATCAGTTAGCCGTGCCACAGGGCATTCAAATACACTTGAGCTGCATGTTTTTAATTGAAATTGAAATTAATGGAGTTGGAGCTAATTAATGGATTTATAATAGAATGCTAAATTACAGTCTTCCGAAGGAAAAAAAAATCAGGCTTGTCCTAAAAATAACATGTGAAAATCCCATTCAAAAATGAGAATTCTTTTCTTATACTATATATAAAAGCACAAGAAAGTGAATTTTGATCCAGGCCAGCTCATCTGCTACAAGATTAAAATCCCAGTGGTAATGCAGAATTGTTTAGGGTAGAATATGGAAATGACCATGGCCAATGGCAACTCCTCATCCGCTTTCTCATCATCCCAGCCATTTGCTCAACAGGTAGAGAGCCTGAGAGGAAGTAGACAGTGTCATTTACTGTTTCTTACTCTCAGCACCACCATTGTCCAAGCCAGTACAAGGGGGAGATGAACAAGCTGGTCACAGTGATGAAGAGGAGATGCAACTCCTGGGGACTCCTGATGGTGGCTCCTATTAGAGTGTGGGCTCTCAGAAAGTGACCAACAATGTCTGCCCCTGAAAAAAGGCCTGGCTGCACCAACTCAACATTTAAAGACTGCTACTTGGTGTCGACATCACTAAGCACAATCCTATGGGGATGCCCATAAATGCCCAAACTTGGAGAATTATGGTCATACTGGGAAGAGAAGCAGAAGTTATTGTCACCTACCCTCTCCTCCTGCTCTTCATATTTATTAGATGATCACTCTATTGAGTAGTTTGAGGAAGGAAGGGATGGAGGCTGTAAGTTCCTCTTATCTTGCCCACACCACACAATGCCTAGGGGCCATAAGATCATTTCCTAGAAGTCAAACTATGTTACATGAATTGTATGGCATGTAACTGAACAGCTGTGAATCACACATACACATTAGAGTAAGTGTGACTAGCTCCAATATAAATCAGGACCACCATGCATTGGTGGAATGCAGGTGCTGACTGTAATTCCATGTTAAGGTTTGGACTTGTTCCCACTTGGTCCTGGCTCACTTTTTAAGGAGTACTGTAACACACTCTGATGTGCGACTGAAGCTGGTGCTTTCTACCAAATCATTTCACATTTTAAAATCTGTATGTGTGTGTAGAATCTTAGAATAGTAGAGTTGGAAGGGGCCAAAGGGTCATTAGGTCCAACCCCCTGCTCAGTGCAGGACTTCATGTTAAACCATCCTTCTCAGATGGGTGTCCAGCTGCATTTGGAATGCCTCTCATGTGGGAGAGCCCATGGCCTCCTTAGTTAATTGGTCCCATTCCCTTACTGCTCTAACAGGATTTTCTAACAGGTTCAGACAGAACCTGGCTTCCTATAACTTGAGCCCATTATTCCCTGTGTGTCTGTGTATGCAGACATTTAATTCAAAAAGTATAAATAATTTCAATTTTAAATTGCATCTTTGATATATTTAAAAATATTGATTTTAACATTTTAAATCCTCTTTGTCTCTCTCTATTTCTCTTTCTTTGAGTATTGTATTCTGTATTATGTGCATCACATCACATTGCCTGCATATGAGTTGATTTGAACACAACAAAAACAATTAAAATATAGTAATTAAAACAATGTAAATAGTCAGGACAAAAAAGTTTCCCATGGAGGAAATTATGAAGTATTGGCACATCTACTGAGAAGACCCAATGACCAGGTTCAGACAACATGATAACTCACACACAAGAGTAGAGTATAAATGGAGTGTCAATGCTGTTGAACTGTAGGTTAAAAGATATATTATTGTGCTGCCAACCCATAGTTTATTGATGGGTTGTGAACTATGGGTTGCTCCTCTTGCTTGGTGTCTCAGCTGGGTTCAGACATGTTTCAACAATAACCACAATTCAGTGACAACACAACCTATACTTAACCTCTAAGTGTGGGTTATTGTGTTGTCTAAAGCCCATCAGTTTCTCTCATGTCCTTGCTAAATGCAACTCATCTATTGGTGAGATGTCAAGGACAGTCTCACCAGCCCATTTCAAAGAAGAGGACTGCAATATATGAGGAGACTCTTATCTACAACCTAGTCTTAAACTAGACTATGGCTTAGGATTTAGGGCTTCAGAGTCAAAACAGATAATTCGATATGCCCCTGAAATGGACTGAAAACTTATAACATGTGTTAATAAGAGAACTGTAGGAACTTCAGAAGGGATGCCTGATACAGAGCAGGAACATTATTCCATTGGTCCCAGAATTATTGATAGTGCCTTTCCAAATTCTTATGTGGGATGTTTTCCAGCTCTAGCGGGAGAATTCAAGGATCTTCTGCATGCTTGGGATGTGTTCTGCCACTGAGCCATGATTCTTATGCTCCTAAGAACGGCTCTAATGAATACCTTGCCTACTGTATGATGGACCAATGAAAGTTTCTGGGCAATTTTCCAAGGCAGCACCACATGGAGCTCATTGCAATTAACAGAAACATGATGGAATGGTTCATGTGGTCATGTAGACCATGGCTAGATCCACTTCCTCTAGGAATGGGGTTTGCTGGATAATCAACCTAAGAATGGCAGCACTATTCAATCCACAAACAAAAACCAGACATTTGTTGCAGGAGGATGCCCAGACTATGAACCTCAGTGTTCAAGGATAGTGATATTCCCCTGAACTTGTATTTCCAGAATTACAGAATAAAAACGTTTTAATAAATAAATAAATAAAAATAAAATTACTGTTCTATCATCCAGAATTTTCTCCCATCCAGTACATCACAGGCTTCAGGTACTGATTTAGGACTTCAACAGCCTCCCTAAACTCTGGCGGAAAAGGGAGGCATACATGTATGTCATTCACATATTGATGATATGTTATTCTGCATAACTGGAAAATCTTCATAGGGGGTTTCATATGAAGAGCTTGGGTGAGGAGAAGACAAAATAGAACTCTCTGGGATCCAACAGGTCAATGGCCAGTGAATTTAAAGGATTCCCTTAGCACCAACCTTTTGAGCCACCTATCTAGGAAATACTAGAATCAACTCAAAACTGTGACTCCTAGTGCTTTCCTGGCCAGGTAGCACAAAAGCAGGTGCTATTTAAAAGACTTTCAGTCAAACTACTCTTCTCATCATCCCTTTCTTTTCTTAACTTTACTACTGACTCATTTGGTTTAGAACTGCTTTAATCTGTGGGGAGGAAGTGATATTTTCATATGCAAGACAAGTTCACATTTTATTTATGCTACCTAGATCTCTGGTGTGTTTCCTTTTCCTAGGTACATGCAGATCTTTCTGCTGGCCATGGACTACTGGTGGAGTTGATCATTACATTCCAGCTGGTTTTTACTATTTTTGCCAGCTGTGATTCTAAACGAAGTGATGTCACTGGTTCAGTGGCATTAGCAATTGGACTGTCAGTTGCAATAGGACATTTATTTGCTGTAAGTTTTCAACTACTTCCATAAACTTTTCTATCTAACTAGTTGTAAATTTATGTTTCTTGATATGAACCAACATAATCATAGTAACTTTTGAATAATTATTGAAGAAGACTGAATTTACCAAGTATGTTTGCACTAACCTGTTCCAAATCAGAGCTCCTTGCTTTGAAATGACATTGATTCATTTGTGAATAGGAATATTCCTAGCATAACCCGCAAAATTGCAACATAGCTGAGTGGAAACACCAGCAAACTTGCAAAGTGGCTTTAAACTTCTGTGCCCAATGAAACCTGGCCCAACTGAGCATTATAGACAAGTCTACATATCTACAGTTATATGGCATCCACAGTGGCTGCAGTATAAAGTCAGTGTTTCCTCTTACAGGTGCAACCTGAGTTAACTTTTGTGATGTTCTTCTAATGATATGAAAAGCATTACACGAATAGTGACATTTATTACTATTAGAAATAAATAGTCCATGATGATAGTTCACTCATTGTGATGGATCCCCATCCAATACAAGGAATAAATTACACCTCAGATATGCTTGCAATAGGAGGGGGTCAGATGGATAGCCTGGCCTGGGAAGTGCTCCCAACCAGTGTAAAATGCTTAGGTCTGTTGATCTGTATGCCAGTTTTAATGAAATGCCTCACACTGGGAAAAAAGAATTTACAAAATATATCTAGGCAATCAAAAGAATAATACAATGAACACAGGATAAATTTAATAATACAGTCTTACTCAAGACTAATTGCATAACAAATGCAGATAAAAATTCAGAGGTAATAGGCCAAATCAAGAAGAAGCTGGGGTGAATCTCAGGGGTGCAGTAGAACCAGGTTGTCAGAAACACAGCACAGGCACTCTTTCTTCCTCAGTGGGCCACTGATGCCATCTGCCACCCACCCCACAGAATCTCCCGTGTCCCCTAAGCAAAACTACAATTCTCACACTAAGTGTTGGTGGATTAATTCCTCTCCCCACCCACAGCAATATACTGTGCTCTGTTGCAAACTAGAATATTCTAGGTGTCTGTCTTGAATGTTGAGTCCCATCAGCTTGACAAAAGACATGTTCCTGATAGAGATAAACTAATCCAACTGGCTTGTTGATGCCGATTGACACAGCTGCCTGAATTTTTGGGGCTCTCCTTGGGGCTTTGACTTTGGGAACTGTCATGATATCCATCCACACTTCAATGCTTACCACTGCAGGAGTGACTACCCAGCACCGCTAGCACTAGTTCAGTTGTATTCCAAGAGCACAGCATCCTGGCTTAAATGCAGTTTAATTTATGTGGTACAAAGTTTTCTCATCAGGCCAGATGGTTCAGAGCGCATTCCTTTGTCCTTCTTCAGAGGAGACTGGGAGCAGCAAAAGGGCAATGCTGGGGAAAGGTAATGGAAATAAGTCCTTTTCCCTAGCTTTTCAGGATGCTTCCAGGTGAGGATTTGATTGTGCAATCGCCATGCCTCATTCACAGAATTTTTTATGAGGTTAAACCACGGTAGTCTTCCACACTTTTCCCATGGCTTTTTCCATTTGTCTTCTTGCAGAAAAGAAAAACTCAGTAAAATGGGTGGACGATAGCTATACAATGCATTTCATTCTTAACACCACAAGCCATCTATCTGAAAGTACCACAAGTGTTACTGTTTTATCACTGAGCATCACAGTATATGTACCTACCTTGACCACACTGCATCAGAACAAAATTGATAAGAAAATTGAACAGTGTTGAGTTTGCAGTCCTGCAAAGACACTGTTTGCTGCCCTGTCTGTGGCTTGTGGCTTCACTTCCTGCCTTTGTTTCATGCTCATTTCCCAAGAACAAACCTAGGTCTGCAGGAAAGAGTTCAGCGATTGGAAGCCCTTCGGCCAAATCTGTGCAGCTGAAAGATGCTTTCTGGTCACCTTAGTTGCTGACACAGAAGCAAAAGAAATGAGCAGAATGTGGTGTTTGTGGCAGGAAAACTTGGACAAGAAATTTGGAGCAGAGCCAGTAACAAGCTGGTTCTACCCATACACAATAAGCATGTGGATGCTAAATGGTTGGATAGTAATAATTACCTGACCTGCCTTCAATGTTTTATTTTTATTTATTTTTTTACTGCAGATAAGCTATACAGGTGCCAGCATGAATCCTGCTAGGTCATTTGGACCAGCAGTTATCATGAGTAAATGGGAACATCACTGGGTAAGTGATTATATTTGCCTAGTCCTTAATTTTCAGGAACACTTAACAACTGAAATTGTCATATGTCGTTGATTTTCAAAAGATAATGGATATTTTATATTTTAAAAATCTAAGAATTATAAACTGCTACAAGCTTTTTTCATGTATCTCTTCTGTTCTCTTTGAAGTTACTCTGTTAAACTTGGTATTGTCTTGCATGACTCAGGCTAAGGCAGTAAGAGGGCATCCTATGACTGTGTTGGTTTATGACTGGCTGGAAAAAGCAGGGAGTTGTGGGAGTTTTCTGTCTAAACATGCACTGAATGGCATGTCAGCTGCTTCAAAGCTTACATTCTAAACCAAAACAGAATGAGGACAGTGAGAACTTGCACTTTACAGTATTTTCCCACAAATATCACTTCCATGGACTGGCAACATTCTGTTCCATGAGTGAAGGGGAAAACAAAGAAAATGGCATATTCCAATATTTACCTTAGATAATGTGGGAGTTTGGTCTTAGACATAGGGTGGATAATCCAAATGAAAAGGGACCAGTTTTAAAAAAAAGCTTTAAGATTTTGCTAAACAAAAATATTAAGAGAAAAAAAGTTTTAAAGCCTAAATGAATACACATACCAAACACCAAAAAATAGGAGATCAATAAGGTCATAAAATAAATATGTATAAACACATCCAGCTAACATACCTAGGCTATGTCCCTATTTTACCCAAGTTCCTTATCCAATCAGTATTTTAATGCCACCTAGGGTACATCCTAATCCAGTTATCCAGTTTTAGCTGCTCTGGTCCTTTCTCTTAGAATTCTTTTAGGATTTTGACTTTCTTTCTGGCCTTCTTCCTCCCGCCCCTTTTTTTTCTCTCACTTTCGATCCCTTCATATCACAGGCTTTTATATCTTTGGATGAATTGTTTGCTACTAGAATTTTAACCAATCAGGGGGGTAATTTCTTGTTCACTTCAGCAAACTAAATTTGTCTTTTGTAAGCTCTTCCTTCAATTTTTTTTCTCTTTCTCTAACCTTCAGCTGAGCCTCCTGCGGATTTGTGACTTCCTAAGTAAACATCCTGATTGCTATAATTTAACTCTCTCTCTCTCTCTCTCTCTCTCTCTCTCTCTCTCTCTCTCTCTCTCTCATATATATATATATATATATACACACACACACACACACACACACACACACACACACACTTTTAACCTTTGGGTTGAAAGTGGCCATCACACTCACAAAGAGGATTTAACCACATAACATCTAAAAAATAAACTAGATTTTTTAAAACTCAAGCAATTCTGTCCCTGCATGCTAACTTATGCAGCAATTAAGTGAGCCAGTCAAATTTCAGGGGCTTCTATAAGATGATGATGCCAGAATTCAGAGGTGCTTCTTGTGTTTATTTGAATATTTGGGCTTTCTTTGAATTGATCATCAGTTTAAATTTTGGTAAGTATTTGGTAAATATCTCGAAAGCAGGAAAAGTATTTCTGACTGAAGAAATAAGTTTCTTGAATTCTGATTCAATTTCAGTCTGTTAACTATCTTGGCAATGTCTATATACATAAATCAGCTTATCACAAGATTTAATCAATGCAACATGGGAATGCTTAAAGTTAAACAGGCTGGCATGATAAATGCCACATGTTTCAGCAGTTTCATATGCATGCTATTATAATCCCTTACCACTTACCAAAATTTAAACTGATGAGTAATTCAAAGAAAGGCCAAATATTCAAATAATTTAAACTTTACAGGCATAAGACAAGGGCCAGCAGCCATTTTTGGCTCAAGGGCTGGACTGGCCATGGGCTGAAACATTTATTTATTTATTTATTTATTTAAAGCATTTTTATGCCACCCCCTTTGCAAAAAGCCTCGGGGCAGCTTACAAAGAACAAACATGTATTCGGATTTTAAGGTTTATTTTACATCTCAGCAGATTATAAAAACCAATAAATAAAGGTAACAATTAACAGTTAAAATATCATTTAAATAAAAAGGTCTTGGCCTGGCACTAAAAAACAAATAACAACAGTGCCAGGCTGACCTCTCTGGGGAACGCATTCCATAGGTGGGGCACCACCGCAGAGAAGGTCCTCCTCCAGGTACTCACCCTCCTAATATCTTTCACGGAGGGCTCCTGGAGAAGGGCCTCTGCTGCCAATCTCAGGGGGCGGGAGGGCATATATGGACGCAAGCGCTCCTTTAGATAACCAGGTCCCAAGCCGTTAAGGGCTTTATAGGTGATAACCAACACCTTGAATTCATCCCGAACTTCAATGGGAAGCCAGTGAAGCTGACAGAGGACTGGGGTTATGTGAGAACAACGCCCAGTCCCCGTCAGCAACCTGGCAGCTCTGTTTTGCACCAATTGAAGTATCCGTACCGTCTTCAAAGGCAGCCCCACGTAGAACGTGTTACATAAGTCTAATTGGGAAGTTACCAATGCATGTGTCACTTTCGCCAGGCAATCGTTCTCCAGGTAGGGACGCAGCTGATGGATCAGCCGGAGCTGGAGGAAAGCACTCCTCGCCACCACTGTTACTTGAGCTTCTAATGACAGCTCTGGGTCAAAGAGCACTCCCAAGCTGCAAACCCTGTCCCTAAGAGGGTGTGCAACCCGATTCAGGACAAGGCCTAGGTCCCCCATTTTGAAGCCTGACCCACCTACCAACAGGACCTCCATCTGGATTGAGCTTCAGCTTATTGGCCCTCATCCAGCCCATTACCTCGGCCAGGCACCGGTTCAGTACAGCCACTGCCTCACATGGATTAGTGGAAAATGAGAGGTAGAGCTGGGTATCATCAGCGTACTGATGATTCCGCAGCCCAGCCCCTAATGACCTCTCCCAGCGGTTTCATGTAGATGTTGAATAGGAAGGGGGACAAAATGGACCCCTGTGGAACTCCATGGCATAACTGCCATGGCGCAGAGCCATAGTCCCCCAGCACCACCTTCTGGAATCGGCCATTGAGATAGGAGTGAAACCACTGCAAAGCAGTGCCTCCAACTCCCAATCCCACTAGCCTATCCAGAAGGATACCATGGTCGATGGTATCGAAAACTGCTGAGAGGTCCAGGAGAATCAACAGGGATGCACTCCCCCTGTCTCTCTCCCTGCACGGGTCATCATACAGGGTGACCAAGGCAGATTCAGTACCATACCTGGGTCTGAAGCCGGACTGAAATGGTTCCAGATAATCAGTTTCATCCAAGAGTGCTTGGAGTTGTCCCGCCACCACCCGCTCTAACACCTTGCCCAGAAACGGGATGTTGGCTACCGGTCTATAATTGGTGGCCATCTCTGGATCCAGGGATGCCTTCTTTAGGACTGGCCGGACTACCGCCTCCTTTAAAGGGGCTGGTACCCGGCCGTCCCTTAGAGAGGTGTTGACAACCTCCATGATCCAGGCCCCTATCCTGTCCTTGGCATTCTTAAGTAGCCAAGATGGGCAAGGGTCCAGTAAGCAGGTGGTAGGACGTACTTGTCCAAGCATATTGTCCACATCATCAGGTCGCAACAACTGAAACTCATCCATCAATTTTGGACCAGATGGCAACATTGGCGCCTCCCCAGAAGGTTCTGAGTCACTAGTAGAGTCCAGCTCATGACGAACCTGAGCGATTTTCTCCTTGAAATGCTTGGCAAAGTCATCACAGCGGGCCATCGAGGGTGGCACAAGATCTTTCTTGGGGCCTGGGTGAACCAGCCCCTGTACCACCCAAAAGAGCTCCTCCGGACAGCATTGTGAGGAGGCAATGGAAGCGGAAAAGAATTTCTTCTTCGCCGCCCTCACTGCCACAGCATAGGCCCTATACTGGGCTCTCAAGTGTGTTCGGTCAGATTCATCCTGTGATTTCCTCCACCTATGCTCTAGACATCTCCCAACCTGCTTCATCACCCGTAATCAGGTGTATACCAGGGGGATGAATGGGCTCTGCCAGGCAGGAGAGGATGCTTAGGAGCGATTGTGTCAGTAGCCCTGGTCATTTCCCCATTCCATAGTTCAACCAAGGCATCAACCGGAGCACCAACCTTGTCAACCGGGAAATCCCCCAGGTCTTTCAGGAATCCATCAGGATCCATCCAGCTCCGGGGGCAGACCAACACAATCGGGTCCACACCCTTACAGAGGGAAAGGCCGCTCTTGAGCTCAAACTTCATGAGGAACTGATCTGAACATAACAGGGGTGTCAAACACAAGTTCCTCACCTTCAGATCCCCCTCTTCCTGCCCTATCGAGAAAACCAGGTCCAGAGTGTGTCCACATTCTTAAGTTGTAACAATGACATGTTGAGACAGCCCAGTGGCCATCATGGAGGCCATGAAGTCCTGAGCAGCCCCGGTCAGAACCGTCTCGGAGTGGAGATTGAAGTCCCCCAGGACCAACATCCTGGGAGCCTTCAACACCAAATCTGAGATGATCTTCGTCAACTCAGGCAGGCAGTCTGTTGGGCAGAAGGGTGCACGGTACACCAACAGAATCCCCAGTCTGTATCGATCGCCCAACACCAAGTCGAGGCACTCTAGACCCGGCTCAAGAGAACAGGAAGCCCCATGAGGAAAATAGAGGCTCGATGAACCAAAGCGACCCCCCCTCCCCTCCCCTCTAGGTGTGGTCGGTGCTGGATCAGGTACCCGGGCAGGCACAGTCACACTGGAAGTCACATGCAAGCAATGGGCAAGGCCACAGCCCAATCGTGACAGCACCACTGCTGTTGTGCTCTCTCTCTCTCTTTCTCTCTTTCTCTCTCTCTCTCTCACACACACGAGTGTGTATGTGTTCTGTAAGGGCAAAACACTCTGGGTATATATAGAGCTTCTGTTTATATAACTTGGCTATACGTGTGTGTGTGTAAATACAGCTCAATCAGATCAATTGCTCAGCTTTCTCCTGCAACAGCATGGGGGCAACATGGATCAAGGCACTGACCACAGTATCCCTGGCTGATTAATTCATTTGGTATTACTTATGTTTCTAAACCACCATTAATTGGACATTTTCTGAGCATTTCACAAGAAACAAAAAATAACACCATACAATGCAATAACATAGTAAAACATAAAAACAAGGTAACGTTAAAACAGGAAAAACCCAAATCAAAAAGGCAGTGAGGCAAGAGACAAATGTCAGAAGCAGTGCAAAGAACTAAAATGCAATAATACGTTTTAGATATATACTGGAAGACTAACATGCCTGGGAAAATAAAAAGGACTTTAGATGGCACCAGAAGGACCCCACTATAGGTGCCAGATGATTCCCTGTGGAGTTAGGGTTACTATGCAGAATAATCTGAAGCATCTACCAGTTCTTTGAAACATTGTTCTGTGCTCTGATACAAGTTTCTTTCCCTCTATTTTCTACAGATATACTGGGTGGGACCAATTATAGGAGCAGTTCTTGCGGGTGCCCTTTATGAATATGTCTATTGTCCTGATACTGAGCTCAAGCAACGGTTCAAAGAAGCCTTTACTAAAACAAGCCAGCAGTCCAAAGGGAAATACATAGAGGTAGAAGACAGCAGGAGCCAGGTGGAGACTGATGACTTGCTCCTGAAGCCTGGAATGGTCCATGCCATTGACCTCGAGAGGGGTGAAGCTAAGAAGGGGAGAGACCCAACCAATGAGGTGCTATCATCTGTATGACTAGCAAGGAGCACTGAAAGCGGAGAACAGTCAAGTAGCATGCCCACAGATAGCCTTCCACCAATAAAAGAAACAGATCTGTTGTAAATTAGACATGTAAATCACCTTAAAATTGAAGGAGATGGCAGCAATTAATTAGCTGTTTAATCTGACCACATTTCCATTTTGTTGAAATGGTAGCCAACTATTTTGAGGGATCCTCACAGAGTATTCCAAATTCATCCTTCCAGGGATAGCAGTTGGGGGAATCTTTCTCCCTTGGCAACCCAAGTGAATGTTGAAAGAAACATTTAATGCAGGCAGTTAGGAGTAGGAAATAGTACATAATCTTTGACAATCTGATTGACAGATGAAACTTATATGAAGTTGCCTATAGACACAGAAAAGCAGTGTCTATCAGATTGTTCTTCTGACACTTAATTGGCTGCTGTCAATGCTGATTAGAATTTTAATGACAAAGTCTATGGCAGGCTCAGTAACAACAGGGCCAGCATACAGGATGTAGCAAAACCTTTCAAAGCACTGGCCTTTTCTATCTCCCTTTCTTCTAAGAGAGGGAATATTATTTTTCCCCTCCATGCTATATTTGGTAAAACAGTAATACAAAAAAACAAGCAGGAGTTGGCATTTGCCATTTGATACCTACATGCATTTATTATTCTTCAAAAGCCATCTCCTTATCACTATCAGTCTTGAAACTGAAAGATATTATACTCACAAAACAGTGAAACATTTTGTTTGCCCTCTGTGAACAAATTCTTAGCCATTTACTATATATTATTGAGAGAAATATCAAAAACAATATGCATTCACAATTTACTTTATCTTGTAGTGGGGCAATCCAGCCAAAGTGGAACACTTTGAATTTCAATTAATTTTAATATGAGGTGCTTATGGAGATGCTTAATTCTCCTGTTGAAATCAGTAAGACTTGAAAGAAGTTAACTTTGGGTGGATCATCTCCAATAAACCTATGCTGATATCAAAAAAGATGGAGGCTGTTCTGTTTTCAGTGCACTTATTGAAATAAACAAAAGTGTTACCTTTTCAGTATTATATAACTGGAATGTTAAAATCACTTATCCATTTTTCTCACAATGTGATTTTTTAAACAATCAGACTTTTATTAACTATTTAAACCACTGCTGAAGAATATCTGCAAACTGATGCTTTGCTTTTAAATACTCTTATTGACAACAGGATTCATGTTAGAGTTGCTTCAAATAAATTTCCTATATAAAAAGCATTTTATGTAGGAAAAATAATTCAAGGCATATAGGTTGCTACATGTGGCAGTAGCAGATTTTTCTTTTCCATTATGCTCATACCTACTGTAAACATACTGGAAAGCCATAGTCTACAGAGGTATGTGATTGTGTGTCCAATTGTTACATGAGTTTCACACTGTAATAAAATCAGTGAAGCAGTTATGTGTCAATGCATCAAAAAGCCAGAACATACAAGTAGCCTGCAAGATTGTGTGCTGAATTGTGCATGCACCATTTATACATGTCAAGTGTTGGTGGCTTAAGAGTAATGTTTACACTTTCTGATTGTAGACAGAACTGCATTTTGCTATGGCTGAGGTTCTCTGAACAAAACTCATCAATTCCCACTAAGAGTTTGTAATGATTTTTTAAAAAATAGATTTATATACCACTTTATATACCACTCAAAGCAGTTTACATCATTCTCCTTCTGCCACTCTCACGTTTACCCCACAACAACAATCCTGTGAAGTAGATTGGGCTGTGACTGGCCCACAGTCACCCAGCTGGCTCCATGTGAAAATGTAAACGCACCCTGAGAACATTTACCGCCCTGGGAAATGGTGTGAAAACTAGGGCCACTATACTGATACTAAATTTCTAGGTAGGAAAATATACAGTGGTCGAGTTTAAACAACTCAACAAACCATAGTAGGTTCTTACCATTGTAGCTCTGTTGTGTTGTCCAAATCCAGTATTTCACCATGGTAAATTTGGTTTTTAGAAACCATTATAAGAAACAAGAGTTTGTTCTAAGGTCTCCACATGCCACAGTGGCTTCTCATGTTGTCTGAACCCAGAATTGTGGTTTCTACAGTCCTGCTTTGCAGCTACTACAGAGTCCCTTGGAAGAGTGACAACTGTAGGAACCATTCCAGCCATCCAGCCTCTGTTGTTTTCTGAGGAGGAAGAGACAGGCAGCATAGGGAACGATGCACCTTGGAATTGCATTTCAGGCACAGTAGCTAATAAGATGTGTGCCGACACCAGGAGAACTGAGTGGGGAGTATAGAAAACGCTTGATCATCTGTCGGATAAATCATGCAGGGTTGCTTGTCATGTTGTGTGAATACAGCCATTGTGTAATGCATAGCAGACATAACATGATAAAGAACACATTTGTTTAAATATTGGGAAAACAGGAATGCAGCATGAAGCGGGCTGTACATGGTACAAAGGGGAAAGAGCTAAGGTTTCAGCAAAGTTAAAACAAAAAATACATTGTTGGGTCTTTCAAAAGAAGAAAACAGTGGATCTGATCTGTAAATAAATTACTGTGTATTTGTTAGGACATTGTTAATTTTTTTTGTCAAAGGAAATTTTGTTTGTAAATTTATCTCAATGAAAGAAAGATTAGGCAACTTTTGATTGCTTGATCCTCCGTTGATAAAAATGGCAATTAATCATATTCCTAACTGAGAATGTCACATGCAGTCATAGAGCTGCATATTTAGGCTGTTCCATTCATGTCCTTGCATAAAACGTTTTGTGCAGGTCCTGAGTTTTAAATTACCAGTGTCATAAACTGCACAAGGATCCTTAGTCATGTTTTCTCTGGAACTACAAAATTGAATTTACCAGAGACAAACCACAGTTTCACTGTCCTGAGAAAACTGCTTGGATACAATCTTACAAGATGACTTATTTTGCACTTGTATAACAATGTTTGATTAAACACTGAAACTTCACTTTGTGTATGTGTGTGCGTGTGCGCGCGCATGCACACACAAACACACACACACTGTATTTTTGCCTTAAGGCTTTTCTGTTTAATTTGCATTTTGTAATGTTTTATCAGAGTGTGCTGATATGTTACTTTTTTCTTCATAAACTGTAATACATTGAGTTATTTCTGTGGCTGTCTTACAAATGATTTAACATGTGAATTTTATATTTCTGATGCTTTACAACCCTTGTTGTTCACAGTTAGCACAAGATACAAAAGGAATCAAACAGAAGCCTTTTTGAGCATCGGCTTCTGCTGATAAAAAATCTGCAGGCTAGTGAGTGACTGGGATTGGACAATATACTATGGCTCATCCTGGATTACTTAACCCACAATGAGCCATTGCACCTGCTTACTACAGGTTGCATCTGCATATTGTTTAACTGCCACATGACCCATGCTTCCTGAGTTTGCACAGCACACTCCCAAACAGTGGTTGTGTGCACCACAGCCTCACCATGGACTAATTAACCCATGGTTGGGTGTCACTTCATACAACCATTTAATCCTCACAACCAGCCCATTGCTTCTGCTGCAAGTTACCACCCCACCCCAATCACATACTCTCATCAGTAGAAATTGGTCCAGTTTAGCACCTCATGGATTTATTCAACTTTGTCCAACACAGAGAGCCTGGAATTATTCTGAAATCAGTGGTAGGTAACCATCCTTGCTTTCTTCTTAATGGCCCTCTCTTTTATCCAATATTTAAACAAGTTGGAAAAACAATACATTGGGGATGGTGTGCATAGCAGAGAAACTAGCAATGCTTTGCTGTACCCATGGTGGAAGTTGATGGAGGTGGTTTTCTCATTGAGGAACGTAAAATACTATGCCAGCCCCAAGAATGCTGAAGTTTTGTGTCTTTTCCAGGGGGATGCCAGGGCAATTAGGAGTTTAGGATCCTACAGATTCTTGGAGGAAACCAACTTGCCTGTCTGGCACAGTGGTTAGAGTGTTAGAATGGCCCTTGGGATGTCCAGGTTGTAGCCCATGCTCTGCCATGGCACTTACTGATTTTCAGTCTAACCTACTTCACTGAACTGTTGTGGGGATTAAAAGCAAGGAAGGAGAAGGATTATGTGAGCTACTATTGCAGTAAAAAAGCAAGAAATATAATAAATAGCACCCTGTTTCATATCTCACCATTGCCAATGGAACATTCACAGCAAATTGCTTTTTCATGGGTACATGGGAAGTCCTCCAGCAGTGAAAATCCCATCCTGCCTGTGAGCCTCTGCCAGGCACTTTTGCCACTTGCTGTGTGCTTAGCTGGCCAAATGCCAATTGTAAGATTTTATCCTAAAGATTCTTAAATTTAAATTTGAAAACCTGAACATTGGAAGGATAATGGAACATTCACAGCAAATTGCTTTTTCATGGGTACATGGGAAGTCCTCCAGCAGTGAAAATCCCATCCTGCCTGTGAGCCTCTGCCAGGCACTTTTGCCACTTGCTGTGTGCTTAGCTGGCCAAATGCCAATTGTAAGATTTTATCCTAAAGATTCTTAAATTTAAATTTGAAAACCTGAACATTGGAAGGATAATGAGCAAACTTTTGAATGATGTGGGTTTGTCCACAGTGTACACACCCAGCTTCCAGTGCCATATCAATAGAAGGGATGTCACTTTTGTTGTGCATGTTTCTTGTTACCTTTTATGTACAGCTATTTCCTGCAAAGACAGCATATCAGTGCAATGCCATGTTTTGCCTACTCAGAGTAAGCCTCAACAGGTTCATAGGGGTCTGCTCCCAGATAGTTTTTTTTCACCCTTTGTGAGTTGCACCAGTTTAAGTGGAACTACTTGGTAAATAAAGCAGAAATATAACTTTGGATGTTACCAGTAAGGATAGCAGCAGTGCCAGAAGCATGTGGATTAAGAGGAGAAATGGCATTGCATACTGCTTCTCACATATGACTCTGCAAATGAGCTCAAAGTGATTGGACAAAGCTATCCCGGATACAATGAGAAATTACAAAGTGTATCATTCTAAAGTCTCATATAAATATTCAAAATCAAAGTTAAAAAGGATATTTGGTGATTTATAAATAATAAATCATCTGCCACTTGTAGGACAGGTGATCTGCTATGAACTCTGTGTGTGTGTGTGCGCGCACATATACGTACATATACATATATTCCCCTTTCAACATTATCAGAACAAATGTGACAATAATATTATAAATTGCAGTATGTAACATTTGGAATAATCTACTTCATATAGATGTGTTACAGTCAATAATAGATTCTAATCTTGTTTTCTTTCTATTATGCCATATTCTTTACTGTAATGTGTTGTAAATAAACTACTGTCAGTTTTGATTCACTTGTGCATTTTCTCCTTGAAATACTTCTGAGGTGTTATAAAGTAGTTAGGCAAAAATGTTGTTAATACATTAATACAATCTTGTGTATTTTTAAATGAAATAGCATTGTTTCTATATGCAATGTATAGACATACCTTGGTAGAGGAGAACATTCTAAAAATACTCCAGGATGGAAAACAAGCTATTTTTGAAGGAATTTTTGCCTGACATCATTTGTCACTAATGTCAAATCAACCTAATTGTATATAAATATTGAAAAATAAATGAAAAATGGGAGTTTTTTCTAATATAAAGGGTATA